CCCGACGCGGGGCTCGAACTCACGGACCGCGAGATCGTGACCTTCGAGCCCCTTTTCTTGAAGCAGCTCCCGCCAACACGTGCTCCGACTGCCCTCGGTTCGGATCTGCAGAAACTTGTGAAACGTTTTGTCTGTGGTCCAGGCGTTTGCTGTGTACGAAATGAGCATGCCGCAGTTCTGTCCACAGATGAAACAGCGGCTCGAAATCGCTTTGAAGTGTCCTTCACCAAGCCCGCAAGGCCACTGGTGCTGTTAGGATTCAGCCTGTCCCTCATGGTCACCTCCCCCCTCCCTGTGCCCCTGCATCCATCCCCCTGCAGTGCTTCTGTTCACGTCTCCGACAAACGGAGGAAGTCTGGTTTTCCGTACAGCCATCTTCGGGTATAGACAGGCTTCTGGATAAGCTGCTACAGCCCTTGCCCCTTCTTTAGCGACGCCCGGGTCCTCCTGTCCCAGTCGCACGCAGGCCGTGCTGGGAGCACGCTGAGGAGAGAGCAGTAGCGTCAGCCTGAGTGAGCCCAGCGGTGAACAAACACGGTCAGGTTTGCGATGTGCTCTGTTCTTGTCATTGCTCTCACAGGGTCCCAAGAAACGAGTTACGCCCGTCACGGTACTCTCCTCCACTCCTAAGAAAGCACAAGAAAGTAGGTTTTTGTCTGCAAGGCAGTCAGTATCACCCCTTGTCAGACCTGCGCCGAGCACCCACTACGAACACGCCCCGGGCCAGGCGCCAGGGAGGGAAAGGCCGGTCCTCCCTCAGGGCCTGTGCGGTTCACAGAGGAACGTGGGTGCCGGACGCAGTGCATTTGTGGCGCTCCGACAAGCGGGGGTGACCACGGCGGGCCACGTGGGGATGCCTGGGTCAGGGAGCGGACGACGCGACAGGCGCGAGAGAGGGCTCTGGTGCTGGTCAGGGGGCCTCTGCGGGGCGTGCAGAGGAGCAGATACGCCCCTCTGGTGGCTGCAGCGGAGGGAGCACCTGTTGCAGGGAGCGGCGGTGGAGGGAGGGTGGCTTTGTCCTTAGGCTGGTCGGGGCCACTCCAGGCCGGCCACACGATTGAGTGTGGTCCCAACAGGTTACCGCCAAGGAAAAGCATCTGTTCGGAATGCAGCGCCATGTCGTGGGATGTTGATAGCAGGGAGGCGTTAGGGGGGTGGGCGCAGGGAGCATACAGGAACTCTTGCTGTTCAGTTTTGTTGTGAACTGGTTCAAAATCATCTGTTGAGAAACCACAGAAATCCACTTTGCATCAAGGTGGCTTCTTCAGGGCCACCTGGGTGGCTCAGTCACTTGAGCATCCGATTTCGGCTCAGGTTCATGAGTTTCAGTCCCACGTTGGGCTGTCGGCTCAGCCTGCTTTGGATCGTCCGTCCCCTTCTCTCTGCCCCTAGCCCACTCACGCTTGCTCTCTCAAAAATGAAGAGACGTTAAAAAAAAAAAAAAAAAAAAAGGCTAAGGCAACTTGACTGTGAAAGAAAGCACAGACTGCCCCTTGGGCTCAAGAAGACAGGCACAGCAAGAGCAGAGGCTGGCCCTTCTCCTGGAAGCCATGGAAGAACACTCCACATTTGTGTGCCCTTCCTCCAGAACCTCTTGGCAGAGTGTGACATGACAGTAGGGTCTCCCGGTTTCTCAGAGCCCTTCACAGCCACCGTTACAGGCAGTGGACCCTTTTGGGGGGCGTTTTTGACACAGCGGCGCCACCAAGGAGAGAACGACAGAGGTGCAAGGAGATGCGGGGACTCTTACCAGCTGACCTTCTCGCTAAATGTCTTTGTGTCTCTCCCTCCGTGCCAGAGAGACCGAGAACCAAAGGTGTGCTCAGGAGAGAGGGAGGACTGGAAGCCTTGAGCCTCCGGGCACCCCCCACGTGGTAAAGCCACAGACGTGTCTGCAATACTGTGGCACCGGGGCGTGGAGAGGGTACTAAGCAAGGATTACACACAGTGCTCACGCTGTCAGACGAACTTTCAGAGTTCCGAAGTGAATCCGATCTCAATACGGGAATGTGCCTTAGTTTCTCGTCCATAAAGCTGTGTTCAGCAGTTGAGATCAGAGATTAGCAAACCTTTT